GAGGCGCGGGGGGCGCGGGGGGGGGGGGGGGGGGATAGACCCTGTGCCCCTGCAAAAGGGGAGGAACGAACCTAGGGCTAGATTAACGACGGACGGTGATAGGATTTTTTTTTGTTGTTGTTGTCACAGATTGGTGGTAGAGTGTGTTGAAGATAACCATTGTTAAGATAGACTGGGAATAGTTCATCAGGCAGAACTGAATAAGGGTACCCATTGCTCAGAGTTCCCTAGCAAGACTGAGGCCTGGGACCAAAAAGATAAGGTTTGGGTAGACATGGCCCAGGAAGGGATTATGGAAAGCCAGGGGCTGGATGAGCTGGCATGGCAATTGAGATTGCAGGAGGTAGAAGAACAAGTGGTTCGGCTCGAACAGGAGCTAGAACCTGCAAAGGCCCAGAGAGAAGGGGCCGAGGTTAAATCTGCCGCACTGGAGGGACAACTGTCACCGGGGAAAAGGGATGGGGTGGCGAAGGAAATCCAACGCCTCAACTGCTGAGGCGGTAAGAAAAAGAAAATTAGGGCGGGTGATGGCCCAAGAGGCCAGGACAGGGAGGACAGGCTGCGCATGTTGCAGACAGAGTTGGCGGCCTGGAGGGCACGCTGTCCTGAGGGTGGGGCGAAACAAGCAGGAGAACAGCGAGAGCTACAACAAAGGCTAGAGGTAGCAAAAGGTTTAATAGAAGCCGTCCAGAAAGAAATCCGTAGCCAGGAGGATCAGATAAAGGATCTACGAGAGGACAGAGAGAAGTGGCAAGAAGGATGTCAGGAAGCTGCGCAGGAGGTCAGACAGCTATGGGAACAGCTGCATAATAACTGGGCTCAAGTAGAAAATGATAACAAAATAATAGTACAGGAGATGGAGAAGGTAAAAATTTACATGAGCAATTATGAGGCATTACAGGAGCAATGTCAAGCCCTCAAGAAAGAGCGGGGAGACCAGAGGAAAGAGAACGCTGAGCTGAGATCTCGGATCCAGAGCCTAGAGACCGAGAAAGATCAGCTCATGGAACAAGCTCGGTCACTTGAAACCCTTCTAGAGGATGGCCAAGCCAGAGAGGAAGGCTTAGCCGCAGACAAGGCCCAGTTACAGTGGGAGATACAAAAGATGAGTGAGGGACTAGACCACTTAAGGGAACAGGGTAAGTCACTAGAAACCCTCCTAAGGGAGAGCCGGGCCAAAGAGACATGCCTCATCACCAAACAGGGCCAGCTGCAGAGGGAGTCGCAAGCCCTGAAGGAAGAGCTGCAGGAGATAGAGAGCGACAAGCGGAAGCTCCTAGAGATAAATAGCCAAGCGGCCTTGGAACTCAGTCAGTTCCGAGAGGTCGAGAGAGGCAAGCAGGAGAGAACAGGAATCACAAACCATGATGATCACAGACAGCCTAGAGAGAAAGTTGGAGGCTTTTGAAGGCCAATTAACGGAGTACGGGAGAACCACACAATGGGAACTCCAGGAGAGGGGGTTGCTCATAGAAACCTTAAGACAAACTGAGGCACAAGTTAAAGACCTTTGGGCTATTATTCTACAAGGTCCGGGGAAGGAGGAACCTCCTGGTAACCAAAATCTGGAGTGCTCTGGTGAGCAAGTCGGGCCAGGACAAGCGGAGAGGAACACCTGGGAGGAAAGCCTCACAGAGCCGAGGGGGGAGGCCTGGCTTAGAGAGATCCAGTCAGCCCTCCTAGAACACTGGGAGCAGAAGTGGACCCGATGGCAGGAGCTCCACTCGCAAAGACTGAACCACCTAGAAAACCAGGTGGGGAAGCTGGCCTGAAGGCCGGGTAAGGGGGAGAGAGTATCCCCTAGTAAAGGACAGCATGAGGCGTTGGGCCCAGTTGAGAAAGACAGCAAAGGAGGAGGAAAAGGCCTCTCTAAGGAGGGAGCCCCCACGTCCAATGGACAGGGGCAGTGTACAGATAGACTCGCGTCTAAGACCAGACGAGCAGAGGATTGGTGTTAGGACCAGGGGAGTGAGGCAAACCAAAAAAGTAAAGACCGTCCAAGCCTATGAAAAGAGGAGGGAAGTACAGTCCGCTAGAGGGAAGGTACAGCCGGAGACCAGGCCACATCTGTATATGAGCGGTATTCCCCAACAGATTATGTGGAGATCATGGCTGCTCCTAGGGCCCACTCCGTGACACTTGCCTTTAAGATCGTTACATTTCTTCACTGACTACATAGTTCTATATTTTCTTGTGCAGAAAACTGAGGCAGGGTGGGGGGGACAAGAAAATACCTCTCTGTGCCCTAGACCTCCTACCAAATATACTGATCCTGATGGTTTTCTAGAACTGAACTCCAACATTGGTCATTGTAAGAGGACAGCTAGTTACCATTTAACTCATTAGAGTTAATTCAGAGAGAGGCTTTCCAGAGGGGTTCGGAAACCATGACATTTCATTATTTAACATGGAAAGACATATGCAGAGCTTGATTTTTTTTAAACCCAAAAAAAACACACTTCCTGTGAGATGCTCTGGTGTGATCCTGGATTTTTCTGTGTAGCTCTGGTTTCCTTTCTGATCCAGGGAGTCTTTCTTGACTTCAGCTTGCCTTCTCTGACCCTGGCAGGTCCTTCACCTAACCTCCCTTTGCTGACCTCCACCTGCACCATACTACAAAAAGCATGCTTGTACCTCCCTTCTGCTAAGACTTCCAGTGTTGCCTCCATCAGGCTTCACTTCTTGTTCCTTCTGTGAGCCAAATCAAACCCATCCTTTGCTACTTTTGTCTCTCTTTGTTGCTTGGAGAATTCCTACTCTCCACACCCTTTACTACAGACAAGTAGGAAAAATCTAATTCCCTCAGCTCTAGTCACCTTCTTGTCATACCCATTGTTGGTCAAAGTGTTGGTGTTAAAGTACATTCCACTCTAGTTGGTGGTGACGTGTCACATGAGGCATTCATGATACAGACACTTACAAAATAACAACTGTATTACAACTGTGCAGTAATGCATACAGTTCATAGGTCACATACAGCTGTCCCCCAGATCATCCTATTGCTGTGATAGTTAGGCTTTGTCTACAGTGACATTTTGGGCCAGACCTAAGGATCATCCTCTACCAGCTTGAGCCACCTGAGCTGCTTCTCCTCTATCTGTATCCTACCTTGAGGCCTGTGGAGCTTCCTTGAACGCAGCCATTCTGGAAATCAGTCTTTAGACTGCATCCCTCCTCTGGGGAGCACTGGGGAGGAGAAGTAAGGTGCAGGGGTCCAGGAATTTAGGACCAGGGCTTTGTGGGTTTGCTGTTGGAGGACCACACCTATGCTCAGGGCTGGGTGACCTCTGAAGACCCTGCAGAGTGGGGCAGACTGCATCCCAGCTCCCCTTTGGGCCTTGACAGTCAGCAAAGCTTGTGATCTCAGGCCAGGCTGTGTCAGGGGATTGATCTTTGGGGTTTTCAGTGTAGGTGGATAGTGGGTTTGGGCTCAGGGTTGGCTTCATAGTCAAGCCTAACAACCAATATAGTACCCTGAAAGGTGAAGTTCCTTCTTGATAATAGGGAATGAGGCACTGATTTAAGGGACCACATCTTGGGTTTTCATGGAGGGGAGGGGACAGAACTTGCCAAGAAAGAAACTTGTTCTCCCTCAGCCAACCTAAGGGAATCCTTGCTCTAAAAACAGCATAGACGAAAGCCAATCAGTGGCTGCTGGTTACTTCCAAGGGCACATGAGGGTGAAAAGATTCTGCCAAAATATAAGCATTTACATTGCTTCCTTTATTAGAAAAACCTATCCGCATTTAAAGTCTGCACTCAAATCATGACCACTTAACCCTTCTTCATGCTGATGTCTACTTCTAGGTACTAGAACATCTTACTGAACATGATGCATACTTGCACCTGTCCTGATTTTCTGATCTGCACAGAGGTTTTCACTTGCCTGTCTGTTCCCTATATTCCTCCAGAAAATATCAATAAAATTATTCAAATTCTTATGCAGGCACAGCAATCATTTTGTTAAAGTCCACAGTATTTTTTCAAAGTGTAATCTTATAAAGCAGGAGTTTTGTCACAGAATTACAGCCTCATTTTCCAGTTCTGTAAACATTTTTAGAAACGCTCTTCCAATGTTTTTCTTGTTTTCTTTTATGCCTTAATAAAAAGGGGAGGAAATGGAAACCATTGTGCCTTGTACTCCAAAAATGTTGGGAAAGAAGTGATTTGACAAGGGACAGCTTGGTCATTTTCTCCATATCTTTTTTTTTTTTTTTTTTTTTTTT